CACGTCCACGTCCACGTCCAAGTCCACGTCCACGTCCACGTCCACGTCCACGTCCAGGTCCACGTTCAGGTCCACGTCCACGTCCAAGTCCACGTCCACGTCCACCTCCACGTCCACGTCCACGTCCATGACCACGTCCACGTCCACGTCCACGTCCTCCATGTCCACGTCCACGTCCACGACCACGTCCAGGTCCACGTCCTTGCCACGTCCACGTCCACGTCCACGTCCACGTCCACGTCCACGTCCACGTCCACATCGACGTCCAGTCCACGTCCAAATCCACGTCCACGTCCACGTCCACGTCCACGTCCACGTCCACGTCCACGTCCACGTCCACGTCCACGTCCACGTCCACGTCCACGTCCACGTCCACGTCCACGTCCACGTCCACGTCCACGTCCACGTCCAAGTCCACGTCAACGTCCACGTCAATGTCCACGTCCACGTCCAAGTCCACGTCTAGGTACACGTCCACATCCACGTCCAGGTCCAAGTCCACGTCCACGTCCACGTCCACGTCCACGACCTTTCCACGTCCACGTCCACGTCCACGACCACGTCCACGTCCACGTCCAGGTCCACGTCCACAACCACGTCCACATCTACGTCCACGTCCAAGTCCACGTCCAGGTCCAGGTCCAGGTCCACGTCCAAGTCCACGTCTATGTCCACGTCCACGACCACGTCCACGTCCACGTCCACGTCCATGTCCAGGTCCACGTCCACGTCCACGTCCAGGTCCACGTCTAGATCCACGTCCACGTCCACGTCCAAGTCCACGTTCACGTCCACCTCCACGTCCACGTCCATGTCCACGACCACGTCCACGTCCACGTCCAAGTCCACGTCCTCCATGTCCACGTCCACGTCCACGTCCACAACCACGTCCAGGTCCACGTCCTTGCCACGTCCACGTCCACGTCCTCCACATCCACGTCCACGTCCTCCACTTCCATGTCCACGTCCAAGTCCACGTCCAAGTCTACGTCCAAGTCCACGTCCAGGTCCACGTCCACGTCCACGTCCACGTCCAGGTCCACGTCCACGTCCATGTCCAGGTCCACGTCCAGGTCCAAGTCCACGTCCAAGTCCACGTCCACGTCCACGACCACGTCCACGTCCACGTCCTCCACGTCCACGTCCACGTCCACGACCACGTCCAGGTCCACGTCCTTGCCACATCCACGTCCACGTCTACGTCCTCCACGTCCACGTCCACGTCCACGTCCACAACCACGTCCACGACCACGTCCACGTCCACGTCCACATCTAGGTCCACGTCCACGTCCACGATCACGTCCACGTCCACGTCCACGTCCAAGTCCACGTCCAAGTCCAGGTCCACGTCCAGGTCCAGGTCCACGTCCACGTCCACATCCACGTCCACGTCCAAGTCCAAGTCCATGTCCACGTCCACGTCCACGTGCACGACCACGTCCACGTCCACGTCCAAGTCCACGTCCAAGTCCACGTCCAGGTCCACGTCCACGTCCACGTCCACGTTCACGTCCTCGTCCACTCCTAGGTTCACGTCCATGTCCACGTCCAGGTCCACGTCCAGGTCCAAGTCCACGTCCAAGTCCACGTCCACGTCCACGTCCACGACCACGTCCACGTCCACGTCCACGTCCTCCATGTCCACGTCCACATCCACGTCCACGACCACGTCCAGGTCCACGTCCTTGCCACGTCCACGTCCACGTCCACGTCCTCCACGTCCACGTCAACGTCCACGTCCACATCGACGTCCAAGTCCACGTCCACGTCCACGTCCACGTCCAGGTCCACGTCCACGTCCACGTCCACGTCCAAGTCCACGTCCACGTCCAAGTCCACGTCCACGTCCACAACCACGTCCACGTCCACGTCCACGTCCACGTCCAGGTCCACGTCCACGTCCACGTCCACGACCACGTCTACGTACACGTCTACGTCCACGTCCACGACCACGTCCACGTCCACGTCCACATCCACGAACACGTCCACGTCCATATCCACGTCCACGTCCAAGTCCACGTCCACGTCGACGTCCACGTTCACGTCCAGGTCCACGTTCAGGTCCACGTCCACATCCAAGTCCACGTTCACGTCCACCTCCACGTCCACGTCCACGACCACGTCCACGTCCACGTCCTCCATGTCCACATCCACGTCCACGTCCACGACCACGTCCAGGTCCACGTCCTTGCCACGTCCACGTCCACGTCCACGTCCACGTCCACGTGCACGTCCATGTCCACGTCGAGGTCCAGGTCCACGTCTAAACCCACGTCCACGTCCACGTCCACGTCCAAGTCCACGTCCACGTCCATGTCCACGTCCACGTCCACGACCACGTCCACGTCCACGTCCTCGTCCACGTCCACGACCACGTCCACGTCCACGTCCAAGTCCACGTCCACGTCCACGTCCATGTCGAGGTCCACGTCCACGTCCACGTCCACAACTACGTCCACGTCCATGACCAAGTCCACGTCCACGTCCACGTCCACGACCACGTCCACGTCCATGTCCACGTCCAAGTCCACGTCCAGGTCCACGTCCTCCTCCACGTCCACGTCCAGGTTTACGTCCACGTCCACGTCCACGTCCACGTCCACGACCACGTCCACGTCCACGTCCACTTCCACGTCCACGACCACGTCCACGTCCACGTCCACGTCCACGTCCACGTCCAGGTCCACATCCATGTCCACGTCCACGTCCACGTCCATGTCGAGGTCCACGTCCACGTCCACGTCCACGACCACGTCCACGTCCACGACCACGTCCACGTCCACGACCACGTCCACGTCCACGTCCAAGTCCACGTCCAAGTCCAGGTCCACGTCCACCTCCACGTCCACGTCCAGATTTACGTCCACGTCTACGTTCACGACCACGTCCACGTCCAAGTCCACGTCCACGTCCAGGTCCACGTCCACCTCCACGTCCACGTCCAGGTCCAGATCCACGTCCACGTCGACGTCCACGTCCACAACCACGTCCACGTCCACGTCCACGTCCACGTCCACATCCACGTCCACGTCCACGTCCAAGTCCACGTCCACGTCCAGGTCCACGTCCACCTCCACGTCCACGTCTAGGTTTACGTCCACGTCCACGTCCACGACCACGTCCACGTCCACGTCCACGTCCACTTCCACGTCCACGACCACGTCCACGTCCACGTCCACGTCCAGGTCCAGGTCCACATCCATGTCCACGTCCACGTCCACGTCCATGTCGAGGTCCACATCCACGTCCACGTCCTCGTCCACGACCACGTCCACGTCCACGACCACGTCCACGTCCACGTCCACGATCACGTCCACGTCCACGTCCACGTCCAAGTCCACGTCCACGTCCAGGTCCACGTCCACCTCCACGTCCACGTCCAGGTTTACGTCCAAGTCCACGTTCACGACCATGTCCACGTCCACGTCCACGTCCAGGTCCACGTCTACCTCCACCTCCACGTCCAGGTCCAGATCCACGTCCACGTCGACGTCCACGTCCACAACCACGTCCACGTCCACGTCCACGTCCACGTCCACATCCACCTCCACGTCCACGTCCACGTCCACGTCCACGTCCACATCCACCTCCACGTCCACGTCCACGTCCACGTCCACGTCCACATCCCATCCACGTCTACGTCCACGTCCACGTCCACGTCCAGGTCCACGTCCACGTCCACGTCCACGTCCACGTCCGCGTCCACGTCCAGGTCCACGTCCAAGTCCACGTCCACGTCCACGTCCACGTCCTCCATGTCCACGTCCACGTCCTCCACGTCCACGTCAATGTCCACGTCCACGTCCAAGTCCACGTCCACGTCTAGGTACACGTCCACATCCACGTCCAGGTCCAGGTCCACGTCCACGTCCACGTCCACGTCCACGACCTTTCCACGTCCACGTCCACGTCCACGACCACGTCCACGTCCACGTCCAGGTCCACGTCCACAACCACGTCCACGTCCACGTCCAAGTCCATGTCCAGGTCCAGGTCCAGGTCCACGTCCAAGTCCACGTCTATGTCCACGTCCACGAACACGTCCACGTCCACGTCCATGTCCAGGTCCACGTCCACGTCCACGTCCAGGTCCACGTCAAGATCCACGTCCACGTCCACGTCCAAGTCCACGTTCAAGTCCACCTCCACGTCCACGTCCATGTCCACGACCACGTCCACGTCCACGTCCAAGTCCACGTCCTCCATGTCCACGTCCACGTCCACGTCCACAACCACGTCCAGGTCCACGTCCTTGCCACGTCCACGTCCACGTCCTCCACGTCCACGTCCACGTCCTCCACGTCCATGTCCACGTCCAAGTCCACGTCCAAGTCCACGTCCAAGTCCACGTCCAGGTCCACGTCCACGTCCACGTCCACGTCTACGTCCACGTCCAGGTCCACGTCCACGTCCATGTCCAGGTCCACGTCCAGGTCCACGTCAGTCCACGTCCACGTCCTCCACGTCCACGTCCACGTCCACGACCACGTCCAGGTCCACGTCCTTGCCACATCCACGTCCACGTCTACGTCCTCCACGTCCACGTCCACGTCCACGACCACGTCAGTCCACGTCCAGGTCCACGTCCACGTCCACGACCACGTCCACGTCCACGTCCAAGTCCACGTCCAAGTCCAGGTCCACGTCCAGGTCCAGGTCCACGTCCACGTCCACATCCACGTCCACGTCCAAGTCCAAGTCCATGTCCACGTCTACGTCCACGTGCACGACCACGTCCACGTCCACGTCCAAGTCCACGTCCAAGTCCACGTCCAGGTCCACGTCCACGTTTACGTCCTCGTCCACGTCTAGGTTCACGTCCACGTCCACGTCCAGGTCCACGTCCAGGTCCAAGTCCACGTCCAAGTCCACGTCCACGTCCACGACCACGTCCACGTCCACGTCCTCCACGTCCACGTCCACATCCACGTCCACGACCACGTCCAGGTCCACGTCCTTGCCACGTCCACGTCCACGTCCACGTCCTCCACGTCCACGTCAACGTCCACGTCCACATCCACGTCCAAGTCCACGTCCACGTCCACGTCCACGTCCAGGACCACGTCCACGTCCACGTCCACGTCCAAGTCCACGTCCACGTCCAAATCCACGTCCACGTCCACAACCACGTCCACGTCCACGTCCACGTCCAGGTCCACGTCCACGTCCACGTCCACGTCCACGACCACGTCCACGTACACGTCTACGTCCACGTCCACGACCACGTCCACGTCCACGTCCACATCCACGAACACGTCCACGTCCATATCCACGTCCACGTCCAAGTCCACGTCCACGTCCACGTCCACGTTCACGTCCAGGTCCACGTTCAGGTCCACGTCCACATCCAAGTCCACGTTCACGTCCACCTCCACGTCCACGTCCACGTCCACGACCACGTCCACATCCACGTCCACGTCCTCCATGTCCACGTCCACGTCTTCGACCACGTCCAGGTCCACGTCCTTGCCACGTCCACGTCCACGTCCACGTCCACGTGCACGTCCACGTCGAGGTCCAGGTCCACGTCCAAACCCACGTCCACGTCCACGTCCAAGTCCACGTCCACGTCCATGTCCACGTCCACGTCCACGACCACGTCCACGTCCACGTCCACGTCCACGACCACGTCCACGTCCACGTCCACGTCCAAGTCCACGTCCACGTCCACGTCCATGTCGAGGTCCACGTCCACGTCCACGTCCACGACCACGTCCACGTCCATGACCACGTCCACATCCACGTTCACGTCCACGACCACGTCCTTGTCCATGTCCACGTCCAAGTCCACGTCCAGGTCCACGTCCTCCTCCACGTCCACATCCAGGTTTACGTCCACGTCCACGTCCACGTCCACGACCACGTCCACGTCCACGTCCACGTCCACTTCCACGTCCACAACCACGTCCACGTCCACATCCACGTCCACGTCCACGTCCAGGTCCACATCCATGTCCACGTCCACGTCCATGTCGAGGTCCACGTCCACATCCACGTCCACGACCACGTCCAGGTCCACGACCACGTCCACGTCCACGTCCACGACCACGTCCACGTCCACGTCCACGTCCAAGTCCATGTCCACGTCCAGGTCCACGTCCACCTCCACGTCCACGTCCAGATTTACGTCCATGTCCACGTTCACGACCACGTCCTTGTCTACGTCTACGTCCACGTCCAGGTCCACATCCACCTCCACGTCCACGTCCAGGTCCAGATCCACGTCCACGTCGACGTCCACGTCCACAACCACGTCCACGTCCACGTCCACGTCCACATCCACCTCCACGTCCACGTCCACGTCCACGTCCACATCCACCTCTACGTCCACGTCCACGTCCACGTCCACGTCCACATCCCATCCACGTCCACGTCCACGTCCACATCCACGTCCAGGTCCAGATCCAGGTCCACGTCCGCGTCCACGTCCAGGTCCACGTCCAAGTCCACGTCCACGTCCACATCCACGTCCAGGTCCAGGTCCACGTCCATGTCCAAGTCCGCGTCCACGTCCAGGTCCATGTCCAAGTCCATGTCCACGTCCACGTCCTACACGTCCACGTGCACGTCAAAGTCCACGTCCACGTCCAAGTCCACGTCCACGTCCAGGTCCACGACCACGTCCACGTCCACGACCACGTCCACGTCCACGACCACGTCCACGTCCACGTCCACGTCTATGTCCACGTCCTGGTCCACGTCCAAGTCCACGTCAACGTCCACGTCCACGTTCACGACCACGTCCACGTCCACATCCACGTCCACGACCACGTCCACGTCCATGTACATGTCCACGTCCACGTCCACGACCACGTCCACGTCCACGACCACGTCCATGTCCACGTCCACGTCCATGTCCACGTCCACGTCCACGACCACGTCCACCTCCACGTCCATGTCCACGACCACGTCCACGTCCACGTCCACGTCCACGTCCACGACCACGTCCACGTCCACGTCCACGTCCAAGTCCACGTCCAGGTCCACGTCCACCTCCACGTCCACGTCCACATCCACGTCCAAGTCCACGTCCACGTCCACGTCCACGTCCAGGACCACGTCCACGTCCACGTCCACGTCCAAGTCCACGTCCACGTCCAAATCCACGTCCACGTCCACAACCACGTCCACGTCCACGTCCACGTCCAGGTCCACGTCCACGTCCACGTCCACGACCACGTCCACGTACACGTCTACGTCCACGTCCACGACCACGTCCACGTCCACGTCCACATCCACGAACACGTCCACGTCCATATCCACGTCCACGTCCAAGTCCACGTCCACGTCCACGTCCACGTTCACGTCCAGGTCCACGTTCAGGTCCACGTCCACATCCAAGTCCACGTTCACGTCCACCTCCACGTCCACGTCCACGTCCACGACCACGTCCACATCCACGTCCACGTCCTCCATGTCCACGTCCACGTCTTCGACCACGTCCAGGTCCACGTCCTTGCCACGTCCACGTCCACGTCCACGTCCACGTGCACGTCCACGTCGAGGTCCAGGTCCACGTCCAAACCCACGTCCACGTCCACGTCCAAGTCCACGTCCACGTCCATGTCCACGTCCACGTCCACGACCACGTCCACGTCCACGTCCACGTCCACGACCACGTCCACGTCCACGTCCACGTCCAAGTCCACGTCCACGTCCACGTCCATGTCGAGGTCCACGTCCACGTCCACGTCCACGACCACGTCCACGTCCATGACCACGTCCACATCCACGTTCACGTCCACGACCACGTCCTTGTCCATGTCCACGTCCAAGTCCACGTCCAGGTCCACGTCCTCCTCCACGTCCACATCCAGGTTTACGTCCACGTCCACGTCCACGTCCACGACCACGTCCACGTCCACGTCCACGTCCACTTCCACGTCCACAACCACGTCCACGTCCACATCCACGTCCACGTCCACGTCCAGGTCCACATCCATGTCCACGTCCACGTCCATGTCGAGGTCCACGTCCACATCCACGTCCACGACCACGTCCAGGTCCACGACCACGTCCACGTCCACGTCCACGACCACGTCCACGTCCACGTCCACGTCCAAGTCCATGTCCACGTCCAGGTCCACGTCCACCTCCACGTCCACGTCCAGATTTACGTCCATGTCCACGTTCACGACCACGTCCTTGTCTACGTCTACGTCCACGTCCAGGTCCACATCCACCTCCACGTCCACGTCCAGGTCCAGATCCACGTCCACGTCGACGTCCACGTCCACAACCACGTCCACGTCCACGTCCACGTCCACATCCACCTCCACGTCCACGTCCACGTCCACGTCCACATCCACCTCTACGTCCACGTCCACGTCCACGTCCACGTCCACATCCCATCCACGTCCACGTCCACGTCCACATCCACGTCCAGGTCCAGATCCAGGTCCACGTCCGCGTCCACGTCCAGGTCCACGTCCAAGTCCACGTCCACGTCCACATCCACGTCCAGGTCCAGGTCCACGTCCATGTCCAAGTCCGCGTCCACGTCCAGGTCCATGTCCAAGTCCATGTCCACGTCCACGTCCTACACGTCCACGTGCACGTCAAAGTCCACGTCCACGTCCAAGTCCACGTCCACGTCCAGGTCCACGACCACGTCCACGTCCACGACCACGTCCACGTCCACGACCACGTCCACGTCCACGTCCACGTCTATGTCCACGTCCTGGTCCACGTCCAAGTCCACGTCAACGTCCACGTCCACGTTCACGACCACGTCCACGTCCACATCCACGTCCACGACCACGTCCACGTCCATGTACATGTCCACGTCCACGTCCACGACCACGTCCACGTCCACGACCACGTCCATGTCCACGTCCACGTCCATGTCCACGTCCACGTCCACGACCACGTCCACCTCCACGTCCATGTCCACGACCACGTCCACGTCCACGTCCACGTCCACGTCCACGACCACGTCCACGTCCACGTCCACGTCCAAGTCCACGTCCAGGTCCACGTCCACCTCCACGTCCACGTCCAGGTCAAGGTCCACGTCCACGTCTACGACCACGTCCACGTCCACGTCCACGACCACGTCCACGTCCACGTCCACGTCCAGGTCCACGTCCACGTCCAGGTCCACGTCCAAGTCGACGTCCACGTCTACGTCCACGTCCTCCACGTCCATGTCCACGTCCTCCACGTCCACGTCAATGTCTACGTCCACGTCCAAGTCCACGTCCACGTCCAGGTACACGTCCACGTCCAGGTCCAGGTCCACGTCCACGTCCACATCCACGACCTTTCCACGTCCACGTCCACGTCCACGTCCACGACCACGTCCACGTCCACGTCCACGTCCACGTCTATGTCCACGTCAATGTCCACGTCCACGTTTACGACCACGTCCACGTCCACGTCCACGACCACGAACACGTCCATGTCCATGTCCACGTCCACGTCCACGTCCACGTCCACGTCCACGACCACGTCCACGACCACGTCCACGTCCACGTCCACGACCACGTCCACGTCCACGTCCACGACCACGTCCACGTCCACGTCCACGACCACGTCCACGTCCACGACCACGTCCACGTCCAAGTCCACGTCCACAACCACGTCCACGTCCACGTCCACGTCCACGTCTACGTCCAAGTCCACGTCCAGGTCCACGTCCACCTCCACGTCCACGTCCAGGTCCACGTCCACGTCCACGTCCACGTCCAGGACCACGTCCAGGTCTAGGTCCACGTCCACGTCCACGACCACGTCCACGTCCACGTCCACGTCCACGTCGAGGTCCACGTCCACGTCCAGGTCCACATCCACATCCACGTCCACGTCCACGACCACGTCCACGTCCACGTCCACGTCCAGGACCATGTCCACGTCCACGTCCAGGTCCACGTCCACGTCCACGACCACGTCCATGCCACGTCCACGTCCACGACCACGACCACGTCCACGTCCACGACCACGTCCACGTCCACGTCCACATCCACGTCCACGTCCAAGTCCAAGTCCACGTCCACGTCCACGTCCACGTCCACGACCTCGTCCACGACCACGTCCAGGTCCACGTCCAGGTCCACGACCACGTCCACGTCCACGTCCATGTCCACGTCTATGTCCACGTCCTGGTCCACGTCCAAGTCCACGTCAACGTCCACGTCCACGTTCACGACCACGTCCACGTCCACAACCACGTCCACGTCCATGTCCACGTCCTGGTCCACGTCCAAGTCCACGTCAACGTCCACGTCCACGTTCACGTCCATGTCCACGACCACGTCCACGTCCATGTCCACGTCCACGTCCACGTCCACGACCACGTCCAAGTCGACGTCCACGTCCACGTCCATGACCACGTCCACGTCCACGTCCACGTCCACGACTACGTCCACGTCCACGTCCACGTCCACGTCCACAAGCACGTACACGTCCACGTCCACGTCCAAGTCCACGTCCAGGTCCACGTCCACCTCCACGTCCAGGTCCAGGTCCACGTCCATGTCCACATCCAGGACCACGTCCACGTCCAAAACCACGTCCACATCCACGACCACGTCCACGTCCACGTCCACGTCCAGGTCCACGTCCACGTCCAGGTACACATCCACGTCCACGTCCACGACCACGTCCACGTCCACGTCCACGTCCACGACCACGTCCACAACCACGTCCACGTCCACGTCCAGGTCCACGTCAACGTCCACGTCCACGTCCACGACCACGTCCACGTCCACGTCCACGACCACGTCCACGTCCACGTCCACATCCACGTCCACGTCCAAGTCCAAGTCCACGTCCACGTCCACGTCCACGACCTCGTCCACGACCACGTCCACGTCCACGTCCAGGTCCACGTCCACGTCCACGTCCACGTCCACGTCCACGTCCAAGTCCACGTCCACGTCCAAGTCCACGACCACGTCCAGGTCCACGTCCAGGTCCACGTCCACATCCACGTCCACGACCACGTCCACGTCCACGTCCACGACCACGTCCACGTCCACGTCCACGTCCAGGTCCACGTCCACGTCCAGGTCCACGTCCAAGTCGACGTCCACGTCTACGTCCACGTCCTCCACGTCCATGTCCACGTCCTCCACGTCCACGTCAATGTCTACGTCCACGTCCAAGTCCACGTCCACGTCCAGGTACACGTCCACGTCCAGGTCCAGGTCCACGTCCACGTCCACATCCACGACCTTTCCACGTCCACGTCCACGTCCACGTCCACGACCACGTCCACGTCCACGTCCACGTCTATGTCCACGTCAATGTCCACGTCCACGTTTACGACCACGTCCACGTCCACGTCCACGTCCACGACCACGAACACGTCCATGTCCATGTCCACGTCCACGTCCACGTCCACGTCCACGACCACGTCCACGACCACGTCCACGTCCACGACCACGTCCACGTCCACGTCCACGACCACGTCCACGTCCACGTCCACGACCACGTCCACGTCCACGACCACGTCCACGTCCAAGTCTAGTCCACAACCACGTCCACGTCCACGTCCACGTCCACGTCTACGTCCAAGTCCACGTCCAGGTCCACGTCCACCTCCACGTCCACGTCCAGGTCCACGTCCACGTCCACGTCCACGTCCAGGACCACGTCCAGGTCTAGGTCCACAACCACGTCCACGACCACGTCCACGTCCACGTCCACGTCGAGGTCCACGTCCACGTCCAGGTCCACATCCACATCCACGTCCACGTCAACGACCACGTCCACGTCCACGTCCACGTCCAGGACCATGTCCACGTCCACGTCCAGGTCCACGTCCACGTCCACGACCACGTCCATCCCACGTCCACGTCCACGTCCACGTCCACGTCCACGTCCACGACCACGTCCACGTCCACGTCCACGACCTCGTCCACGACCACGTCCAGGTCTACGTCCAGGTCCATGACCACATCCACGTCCACGTCCATGTCCACGTCTATGTCCACGTCCTGGTCCACGTCCAAGTCCACGTCAACGTCCACGTCCACGTTCACGACCACGTCCACGTCCACAACCACGTCCACGTCCATGTCCACGTCCTGGTCCACGTCCAAGTCCACGTCAACGTCCACGTCCACGTTCACGTCCATGTCCACGACCACGTCCACGTCCATGTCCACGTCCACGTCCACGTCCACGACCACGTCCAGGTCGACGTCCACGTCCACGTCCATGACCACGTCCACGTCCACGTCCACGTCCACGACTACGTCCACGTCCACGTCCACGTCCACAACCACGTACACGTCCACGTCCACGTCCACGTCCAAGTCCACGTCCAGGTCCACGTCCACCTCCACGTCCAGGTCCAGGTCCACGTCCATGTCCACATCCAGGACCACGTCCACGTCCAAAACCACGTCCACATCCACGACCACGTCCACGTCCACGTCCACGTCCAGGTCCACGTCCACGTACACATCCACGTCCACGTCCACGACCACGTCCACGTCCACGACCACGTCCACGTCCACGTCCACGTCCAGGACCACGTCCACAACCACGTCCACGTCCAGGTCCACGTCAAGGTCCACGTCCACGTCCACGTCCACGTCCACGACCACGTCCACGTCCACGTCCACGACCACGTCCACGTCCACGTCCACATACACGTCCACGTCCAAGTCCAAGTCCACGTCCACGTCCACGTCCACGACCTCGTCCACGACCACGTCCACGTCCACGTCCAGGTCCACGTCCACGTCCACGTCCATGTCCACGTCCAAGTCCACGTCCACGTCCAAGTCCACGACCACGTCCAGGTCCACGTCCTGGTCCACGTGCACATCAACGTCCACGTCCACGACCACGTCCACGTCCACGTCCACGTCCTCGTCCACGTCCACGTCCACGTCCAAGTCCACGTCCACGTCCACGACCACGTCCACGTCAACGTCCACATCCACGTCCACGTCCACGTCCACGTCCAAATCCTCCACGTCCACGTCCACGTCCACGACCACGTCCACGTCCACGTCCGCGTCCACGTCCACTTCCACGTCCAGGTCCACGTCCACATCCACGTCCACGTCCAAGTCCACGTCCACGTCCACGTCCAAGTCCATGTCCACGTCCACGTCCACGTTCACGACCACGTCCACGACCACGTCCATGTCCACGTCCACGTCCACGTCCACGACCACGTCCACGTCCACGTCCACGTCCAGGTCCAGGTCCACGTCCACGTCCACGTCCAGGTCCACGACCACGTACACGTCCAAGTCCACGTCCCCAACCACGTCCACGTCCACGACCACGTCCACGTCGACGTCCATGTCCTCGTCCAAGTCCATGCCACGTCCAGGTCCACGTCCACCTCCACGTCCACGTCCAGGTCCAAGTCCACGTCCACGTCCACGACCACGTTTACGTCCACGTCCACGTCCACCTCCACGACCACGTCCACGTCCACGTCCACGTCCACGTCCACGACCACGTCCACGTCCAAGTCCACGTCCACCTCCACGTCCACGTCCAGGTCCAGGTCCACGTCCACTTCCACGTCTACGTCCACGTCCACGACCACGTCCACGTCCACGTCCACCTCCACGTCCACGTCCACGACCGTTCCACGTCCACGTCCACGTCCACGTCCAGGTCCACGTCCACGTCCACGTCCAGGTCCACGTCCACGTCCACGACCACGTCCACGTCCACGTCCAGGTCCAGGTCTACGTCCAAGTCCACGTCTACGTCCACGTCCACGTCCACGTCCGCGACCACGACCACGTCCACGTCCACGTCCACGACCACGTCCACGTCTACGTCCACGTCCACATCCACGACCACGTCCACGTCCATGTCCACATCCACGAGCACGTCCACGTCCACGTCCACGTCCAAGTCCACTTCCACGTCCAGGTCCACGTCCACCTCCACGTCCTCCTCAAGGTCCACGTCCACGTCCACGTCCACGACCACATCCACGTCCACGTCTACGTCCATGACCATGTCCACGTCCACGTCGACGTCGACATCCACGTCCACGACCACGTCCACGTCCACGTATACGTCCAGGTCGACGTCAACGTCCACGACCACGTCCACGTCCACGTCCACGTCCATGTCCACGTCCAGGTCCACGTCCACGTCCATGTCCACGTCCACAACCACGTCCACGTCCACGTCCAGGTCCACGTCCACGACCACGTCCACGTCCACGTCCACGTCCACGTCCACATCCACGTCCACGTCCAAGTCCATGTCCACGTCCAGGTCCAGGTCCAGGTCCACGTCCACGTCGACGTCCACGTCCAGGTCCACGTCCACCTCCAAGTCCACGTCCGGGTCCACATCCACGTCCACGTCCACGTCCATGTCCAGGTCCATGTCCAAGTCCACGTCCATGTCCAAGTCCACGTCCACGTCTACGTCCACGACCACGACCACGTCCACGTCCACGACCACGTCCACGTCCACGTCCAGGTCCAGGTCCACGTCCACGTCCACGTCCAGGTCCACGACCACGTCCACGTCCTCGTACACGTCCACGTCCACGTCCACGTCCACGTCTACGTCCACGTCTATGTCCACGTCCTGGTCCACGTCCAAATCCACGTCAACGTCCACGTCCACGTTCACGACCACGTCCACGTCCACATCCACGTCCACGACCACGTCCACGTCCATGTACACGTCCACGTCCACATCCACGTCCACGACCACGTCCATGTCCACGTTCACGTCCACGTCCACGACCACGTCCATGTCCAGGTCCACGTCCACGACCACGTCCACGTCCACGTCCACGTCCACGACCACGTCCACGTTCACGTCCACGTCCACGTCCACGACCACGTCCACGTCCACGTCCACGTCCACGTCCAAGTCCACGTCCAGGTCCACGTCCACCTCCACGTCCACGTCCAGGTCCAGGTCCACGTCCACGTCCACGTCCACGACCACGTCCTTGCCCACGTCCACGTCAACGACCACGTCCACGTCCACGTCCACGTCCAGGTCCACGTCCACGTCCAGGTCCACGTCCAAGTCCACGTCCACGTCCACGTCCTCCACGTCCACGTCCACGTCCTCCACGTCCACATCAATAACTACGTCCACGTCCAAGTCCACGTCCACGTCCAGGTACACGTCCACGTCCACGTCCAGGTCCAGGTCCACGTCCACGTCCACGTCCACGTCCACGACCACGTCCACGTCTATGTCCACGTCAATGTCCACGTCCACGTTCACGACCACGTCCACGTCCACGTCCACGACCACGTCCACGTCCACGTCTATGTCCACGTCAATGTCCACGTCCACGTTCACGACCACGTCCACGTCCACGTCCACGACCACATCCACGTCCATGTCCACGTCCACGTCCACGTCCACGTCCACATCCACGACCACGTCCACGTCCACGTCCACGACCACGTCCACGTCCACGTCCACGACCACGTCCACGTCCAAGTCCACGTCCACAACCACGTCCACGTCCACGTCCAGGTCCACGTCCACGTCCAAGTCCACGTCCAGGTTCACGTCCACCTCCACGTCCACGTCCAGGTCCACGTCCACGTCCACGTCCACGTCCAGGACCACGTCCACGTCCACGTCCACGTCCACGACCACGTCCACGTCCAGTCCACGTCGAGGTCCACGTCCACGTCCAGGTCCACATCCACATCCACGTCCACGTCCACGACCATGTCCACGTCCACGTCCAGGACCACGTCCACGTCCACGTCCAGGTCCACATCCACGTCCACATCCACGACCACGTCCATGCCACGTCCACGTCCACGACCACGTCCACTTCCACGTCCACGTCCACGTCCATGACCACGTCCACGTCCACGTCCACATCGACGCCCACGTCCAAGTCCAAGTCCACGTCCACGTCCACGTCCACGACCTCGTCCACGACCACGTCCAGGTCCACGTCCAGGTCCAAGACCACGTCCACGTCCACGTCCACGTCTATGTCCACGTCCTGGTCCACGTCCAAGTCCACGTCAACGTCCACGTCCACGTTCACGACCACGTCCACGTCCACAACCGCGTCCACGTCCATGTCCACGTCCTTGTCCACGTCCAAGTCCACGACCACGTCCACGTCCACATTCACGTCCACGTCCACGACCACGTCCACGTCCATGTCCACGTCCACGTCCACGTCCACGTCCACGACCACGTCCAGGTCCACGTCCAGGTCCACGTCCACATCCACGTACACGTCCACGTCCACGTCCACGACTACGTCCACGTCCACGTCCACGTCCACGTCCATGTCCACGACTTCGTCCACGTCTACGTCCACGTCCACGTCCACAACCACGTCCACGTCCACGTCCACGTCGACGTCTAAGTCCACGTCCAGGTCCACGTCCACCTCCACGTCCAGGTCCACGTCCACGTCCACGTCCACATCCAGGACCACGTCCACGTCCAAAACCACGTCCACATCCACGACCACGTCCACGTCCACGTCCAGGTCCACGTCCACGTCCAGGTCCACATCCACATCCACGTCCACGACCACGTCCACGTCCACGTCCAGGACCACGTCCACAACCACGTCCACGTCCACGTCCAGGTCCACGTCAAAGTCCACGTCCACGTCCACGTCCACGTCCACGACCACGTCCACGTCCACGTCCACGTCCACGACCACGTCCACGTCCACATCCACGTCCACGTCCAAGTCCAAGTCCACGTCCACGTCCACGACCTCGTCCACGACCACGTCCAGGTCCACGTCCAGGTCCACGTCCACGTCCACGTCCACGTCCAAGTCCACGTCCACGTCCAAGTCCACGACCACATCCAGGTCCACGTCCAGGTCCACGTCCACATCCACGTCCACGTCCACGACCACGTCCACATCCACGTCCACGTCCTCGTCCACGTCCACGTCCACGTCCAAGTCCACGTCCACGTCCACGACCACGTCCACGTCAACGTCCACATCCACGTCCACGTCCAAATCCTCCACGTCCACGTCCACGTCCACGACCACGTCCACGTCCACGTCCGCGTCCACGTCCACTTCCACGTCCAGGTCCACATCCACATCCACGTCCACGTCCAGGTCCATGTCCACGTCCACGTCCAAGTCCATGTCCACGTCCACGTCCACGTTCACAACCACGTCCACGTCTACGACCACGTCCACGTCCATGTCCACGTCTACGACCACGTCCACGTCCACGTCCACGTCCAGGTCCAGGTCCACGTCCACGTCCACGTCCAGGTCCACGACCACGTCCACGTCCAAGTCCACGTCCCCGACCACGTCCACGTCCACGTCCACGTCCACGACCACCTCCACGTCCACGTCCACGTCCTCGTCCAAGTCCACGTCCACGTCCAGGTCCACGTCCACCTCCACGTCCACGTCCAGGTCCAGGTCCACGTCAACGTGCACGACCACGTCCACGTCCACGTCCACGTCCACGTCCACGACCTCGTCCACGTCCACGTCCACGTCCACGTCCACGACCACGTCCACGTCCAAGTCCATGTCCACCTCCACGTCCACGTCCAGGTCTAGGTCCACGTCCACTTCCACGTCCACGTCCACGTCCACGACCATGTCCACGTCCACGTCCACGTCCACCTCCACGTCCACGTCCACGACCTTTCCACGTCCAAGTCCACGTCCACGTCCAGGTCCACGTCAACGTCCACGTCCACGTCCAGGTCCACGTCCACGTCCACGACCACGTCCACGTCCATGTCCAGGTCCAGGTCTACGTCCAAGTCCACGTCTACGTCCACGTCCACGTCCACGTCCACGACCACGTCCACGTCCACGTCCACGTCGACGACCACGTCCACGTCTACGTCCACGTCTATGTCCAGGTCCACGTCCACGTTCACGTCCACGACCACGTCCACGTCCAGGTCCACATCTACATCCACGACCACGTCCACATCCATGTCCACGTCCACGAGCACGTCCACGTCCACGTCCACGTCCAAGTCCACGTCCACGTCCAGGTCCACGTCCACCTCCACGTCCACGTCAAGGTCCACGTCCACGTCTACGTCCACGACCACGTCCACGTCCACGTCTACGTCCACGACCATGTCCACGTCCACGTCCACGTCGACGTCCACGTCCACGACCACATCCACGTCCACGTCCACGTCCAGGTCGACGTCAACGTCCACAACAACGTCCACGTCCACGTCCATGTCCACGTCCAGGTCCACGTCCACGTCCATGTCCACGTCCACAACCACGTCCACGTCCACGTCCAGGTCCACGTCCACAACCACGTCCACATCCACGTCCACGTCCACGTCCACGTCCACGTCCACGACCACGTCCACGTCCACGTCCACGTCCACGTCCAAGTCCACGTCCAGGTCCAGGTCCACGACCACGTCCACAACCACGTCCACGTCCATGTCCAGGTCCACGTCCACGACCACGTCCACGTCCACGTCCACGTCCACGTCCAAACCAGGTCCAGGTCTAGGTCCAGGTCCACGTCCACGTCGACGTCCACGTCCAGGTTCACGACCACGTCCACGTCCACGTCCACGTCCACGACCATGTCCACGTCCACGTCCATGTCCACGACCACGTCCACGCCTGCGTCCACGTCCACGTCCAAGTCCACGTCCACGTCCAGGTCCACCTCCACCTCCACGTCCACGTCCAGTTCCAGGTCCACGTCCACGTCCACGTCCACGTACACGTCCACGTCCACGACCACGTCCACGTCCACGTCCACGTCCACATCCACCTCCACGTCCACGTCCACGTCCACGTCCACGTCCACATCCACGTCCACGTCCACGTCCACGTCCACGTCCACGTCCACATCCCATCCACGTCCACGTCCACGTCCACGTCCAGGTCCACGTCCATGTCCACGTCCACGTCCACGTCCACGTCCATGTCCACGTCCACGTCCATATCTACGTCCACGTCCACGTCCACGTCCAAGTCCATGTCCAGGTCCACGTTCAGGTCCACGTCCACGTCCACGTCCTCCACGTCCACGTCCACGTCCACCACGTCCACGTCCACGTCCACGTCCAAGTCCACGTCCACGTCCACGTCCATGTCCACGTTCAGGTCCAGGTCCAGGTCCACGTCCACGTCCACAACCTTTCCACGTCCTCGTCCACGTCCACGTCCCATCCACGTCCACGTCCACGACCACGTCCACGTCCACGTCCACGTCAACGTCTATGTCCACGTCCACGTCCACGTCCAAGTCCACGTCCACGTCCATGTCCACGTTCACGACCACGACCACGTCTACGTCCACGTCCACGACCACGTCCACGTCCATGTCCACGTCCACGTCCACGACCACGTCCACATCTACGTCCATGTCCACGTTCACGTCGACGTCCACGACCACGTTCATGTCCACGTCCACGTCCACGTCCACGACCATGTCCACGACCATGTCCACGTCCACAACCACGTCCACGTCCACGTCCATGTCCATGTCCACGTCCACGTCCACGTCCAGGTCCACGTCCACCTCCACGTCCACGTCTAGGTCCACGTCCACGTCCACATCCACGTCCACGTCCACGTCGATGTCGACGTCGACGTCCACGACCATGTCCACATCCACATCCACGTCCACGTCCAGGTCCACGTCCACGTCCAGGTCCACATCCACGTCCACGTCCACGTCCACATCCACGTCCACGACCACGTCCACGTCCACGTCCACATCCACGTCCAAGTCCTGGACCACATCCACGTCAACGTCCAGGTCCACGTCCACGTCCACGTCCACATCAGCGACCACGTCCACGTCCACGTCCACGACCACGTCCACGTCCACGTCCACGTCCACGACCACGTCCACGTCCACGTCCATGTCCACGTCCACGTCTTAGTCCAAGTCTACGTCCACGTCCACGACCACGTCCACGACCACGTCCAGGTCCACGTCCAGGTCCACGTCCACGTCCAAGTCCACGTCGAGGTCTATGTCCAAGTCCACGTCCAATCCACGTCCTCCACGTCCATGTCCATATCCACGTCCACGACCACGTCCACGTCCACGTCTACGTCCACGTCCACGTCCACGACCACGTCCACGTTCACGTCCAGGTCCACGTCCACGTCCACGTCCACGTCCACGACCACGACCACGTCCACGTCCACGACCCCTCCATGTCCACGTCTTCGTCCACGTCCACGTCCAGGTCCTCCACGTCCACGACCACGTCCACGTCCACGTCCATGACCACGTCCTCCACGTCCACGTCCACGTCCTCCACGTCAAGGTCCACGTCCACGTCCACGTCTAGGTCCTCCACGTCCACGTCCACGTCCACGTCCTCCACGTCCACGTCCATGTCCTCCACGTCGACGTCCACGTCCACGTCCACGTCCACGTCCAAGTCCACGTCCAGGTCCAGGTCCATGTCCACGTCCACGTCCACGACCACGTCCACGTCCACTTCCATGTCGACGAGTACGTCCACATCCACGTCCACGTTCACATCCACGTCCACGTCCACGTCCACGTCCACGACCACGTCCACGACCACGTCGACGTCCACGTCCACCACCACGTCCACGTCCACGTCCACGTCCACGTCCAGGTCCACGTCCACGTCCACGTCCACGTCCTCGTCCTTGTCCTCCACGTCCACGTCCACGTCCTCCACGTCCACGTCCACGACCACGTCCACGTCAACGTCCACGTCCACGTCCTGGTCCACGTCCACGTCCACATCCACGTCCTTGTCCTCCACGTCCACGTCCACGTCCTCCACGTCCACGTCCACGTCCACGTCAACGACCACGTCCACGTCAACGTCCACGTCCACGTCCACGACCACGTCTTCGTCCATGTCCCCGACCACGTCCACGTCCACGTCCATGTCCACATCCACGTCCACGTCCACGTCCACGACCCATCCACGTCCACGTCTTCGTCCACGTCCACGTCCAGGTCCTCCACATCCACGACCACGTCTACGTTCACGTCCACGTCCACGTCCTCCTCGACCACGCCACATCCACCTCCACGTCCACGTCCACGTCCACGTCCACATCAACGTCCACGTCCACGACCACGTCCAGGTCCACGTCCACGTCCACGTCCACGTCCACGTCCAAGTCCACATCCACGTCCACGTCCACGTCCACGACCAGGTCCAGGTCCACGTCCACGTCCAATTCCACGTCCACGACCACGTCCAAGTCCACGTCCACGTCCATGTCCACGTCCACGTCCACGTCCACGTCCACGTCCATGACCACATCCACGTCCACGTCCACGTCCACGACCACGTCCAGGTCCACGTCCACATCCACGTCCACGTCCACGACCACGTCCACGTCCACGACCACGTCCACGTCCACGACCACGTCCACGTCCACGTCCACGTCCAATTCCACGTCCACGTCCACGTCCACGTCCTCGTCCTCCACGTCCACGTCCACGTCCTCCACGTCCACGTCCACGTCCACGACCACGTCCACGTCAACGTCCACGTCCACGTTCAGGTCCACGTCCACGTCCACGTCCACGTCCACGTCCTTGTCCTCCACGTCCACGTCCACGTCCTCCACATCCACGTCCACGTCCACGTCAACGACCACGTCCACGTCAACGTCCACGTCCACGTCAATGACCACGTCTTCGTCCACGTCCACGACCACGTCCACGTCCACGTCCACGTCCACATCCACGTCCACGTCCACGTCCACGTCCACGTCCACGACCCATCCAAGTCCACGTCCACGTCTTCGTCCACGTCCACGTCCAGGTCCTCCACATCCAGGACCACGTCTACGTCCACGTCCACGTCCACGTCCTCCACGACCACGCCACATCCACCTCCACGTCCACGTCCTCCACGTCCACGTCCACCTCCTCCACGTCCACGTCCACGTCCTCCACGTCAACGTCCACGTCCACGTCCAAGTCCACGTCCACGTCCATGACCACGTCCACGTCCACGTCCACTTCCACGTCCACGTCCAAGTCCATGTCCACGTCCTCCACGTCCACGTCCACGTCCACTTCCACGTCAACGTCCACGTCCACGTCCACGTCCTCCACGTCCACGTCCACGTCCTCCACGTCCACGTCCCCGTCCACGTCCACGACCACGTCCACGTCCACGTCCACGTCCACGTCCACGTCCAAGTCCACGTCCACATCCACGTCCACGTCCACGTCCAAATCCACGTCCACGTCCAGGTCCACGTCCACGTACACAACCACGTCCACGTCCACGTCAACGTCCACGTCCACGACCACGTCCACGACCACGTCCAGGTCCACGTCTACGTCCACGTCCAAGTCCACGTCCAAGTCCACGTCCACGTCCACGTCCACGTCCAGGTCCACGTCCACGTCCACGACCACGTCCACGTCCACGTCCACGACCACGTCCACGTCCACGACCACGTCTACGTCCACGTCCATGTCCAAGTCCACGTCCACGTCCAGGTCCACGTCCACGTCGTCGTCCTCCACGTCCACGTCCACGTCCTCCACGTCCACGTCCACGTCCACATCCACGACCACGTCCACGTCCTCGTCCACGACCACGTCGACGTCCATGTCCACGACCACGTCCACGTCCACGACCACGTCCACGTCCACGACCACGTCCACGTCCACGTCCACGTCCACGACCACGTCCACGTCCACGTCCACGTCTACGTCCACGACCACGTCCACGTCCAAGTCCATGTCCACGTCCACGTCCACGACCACGTCCACGTCCACGTCGAAGTCCACGACCACGTCCATGTCCACGTCCACGTCCACGACCACGTCCACGTCCACGTTCACGACCACGACCAAGTCCACGTCCATGTCCATGACCTCGTCCACGTCCATGTCCACGTCCACGTCCACGACCACGTCCACGACCACGTCCACGTCCACGTCCACATCCACGTCCACGTCCACGTCCACGACCACGTCCAAGTCCACGTCCACGTCCATGTCCAGGTCCACGTCCACGTCCACGTCCACGTCTTCGTCCTCCATGTCCACGTCCACGTCCTCCACGTCCACGTCCACGTCCACGACCACGTCCACGTCAACGTCCACGTCCACATCCAGGTCCACGTCCACGTCCACGTCCACGTCCTTGTCCTCCACGTCCACGTCCACGTCCTCCACGTCCACGTCCACGTCCACGTCAACGACCACGTCCACGTCAACGTCCACGTCCACGACCACGTCTTCGTCCACGTCCACGACCATGTCCACGTCCACGTCCACATCCACGTCCACGTCCACGTCCACATCCACGTCCACGACCCATCCACGTCCACGTCTTCGTCTACGTCCACGTCCAGGTCCTCCACATCCACGACCACGTCTACGTCCACGTCCACGTCCACGTCCTCCACGACCACACCACATCCACCTCCACGTCCACGTCCTCCACGTCCACGTCCACGTCCTCCACGTCCACGTCCACGTCCTCCACGTCAACGTCCACGTCCACGTCCAAGTCCACGTCCACGTCCATGACCACGTCCACGTCCACGTCCACTTCCACGTCCACGTCCAAGTCCACATCCACATCCACGTCCACGTTCACGTCCACTTCCACGTCAACGTCCACGTCCACCTCCACGTCCACGTCCTCCACGTCCACGTCCACGTCCTCCACGTCCACGTCCACGTCCTCCACGTCCACGTCCACCTCCTCCACGTCGACGTCCACGTCTACGTCCACGACCACGTCCACGTCCACGTCCACGTCCAAGTCCACGTCCACATCCACGTCCACGTCCACGTCCAAATCCACGTCAACGTCCAGGTCCACGTCCACGTCCACGACCACGTCAACGTCCACGTCAACGTCCACGTCCACGACCACGTCCACGACCACGTCCAGGTCCACGTCTATGTCCACGTCCACGTCCACGTCCAAGTCCACGTCCACGTCCACGTCCACGTCCAGGTCCACGTCCACGTCAAAGACCACGTCCACGTCCACGTCCAGGACCACGTCCACGTCTACGTCCACGACCACGTCCACGTCCACGTCCATGTCCAAGTCCACGTCCACGTCCAGGTCCACGTCCACGTCCACGTCCACGTCCTCGTCCTCCACGTCCACGTCCACGTCCTCCACGTCCACGTCCACGTCCACATCCACGACCACGTCCACGTCCTCGTCCACGACGACGTCCACGTCCATGTCCACGACCACGTCCACGACCACGTCCACGTCCACATCCACGTCCACGACCACGTCCACGTCCACGTCCACGTCCACGACCACGTCCACGTCCACGTCCACGTCCACGACCACGTCCACGTCCACGTCCAAGTCCACATCCACATCCACGTCCACGACCACGCCTACGTCCACGTCCACGTCCACGTCCACGTCCACGTCCAGGACCACGTCCACGTCCACGTTCACGACCACGACCACGTTCACGTCCATGTCCATGACCACGTCCACGTCCATGTCCACGTCCACGTCCACGACCACGTCCACGACCACGTCCACGTCCACGTCCACGTCTACGACCACGTCCACGTCCACGTCCACGACCACGTCCACATCCACGTCCACGCCCACGTCCACGTCCACCTCCACGTCCACGTCTATGACCACGTCCACGTCCACGTCCACGTCCAAGTCCACGTCGACGTCCAGGTCCACGTCCACGTCCCTGTCCACGACCACGTCCACATCCACGTCCACGTCCACGATCACGTCCACGACCACGTCTACGTCCACGTCCACGACCACGTCCATGTCCACGTCCACGTCCACGTCCAAGTCCACGTCCAGGTCCAGGTCCACGTCCACGTCCACGTCCACGACCACGTCCACGTCCACGTCCACGACCACGTCCACGTCCACGTCCACGTCCACGACCACGTCTACGTCCACGTCCACGTCCACGTCCACGACCACGTTCATGTCCACGACCAAGACCACGTCCACGTCCACGACCACGTCCACGTCCACAACCACGTCCACATCCACGTCCACGTCCACGTCCAGGTCCACGTCCACGTCTACGTCCACGTCCAGGTCTACGTCTATGTCTATGTCCACGTCCACGTCCACGACCTTTCCACGTCCATGTCTACGTCCACGTCCACGTCCACGACCACGTCCACGTCCACGTCCACGTCCAAGTCCAAGTCCATGTCTACGTCCAAGTCCACGTCCACGTCTAGGTCCAGGTCCACGTCCACGTCCACGTCCACGTCCAAGTCCATGTCCACGTCCAGGTGCACGTCGACGTCCACGTCCACGTCCACGTCCAGGTCCACGTCGACGTCTACGTCCACGTCCTCCACGTCCACGTCCACGTCCTCCACGTCCACGTCCACGTCCACGTCCACGACCACGTCCACGTCCACGTCCACGTCCACATCCACGTCCACGTCCACGTCCACGTCCACGTCCACGTCCACGACCCATCCACGTCCACGTCCACGTCCACGTCTTCGTCCACGTCCACGACCACGTCCAAGTCCACGTCCACGTCCATGTCCAGGTCCACGTCCACGTCCACGTCCACGTCTTCGTCCTCCATGTCCACGTCCACGTCCTCCACGTCCACGTCCACGTCCACGACCATGTCCACGTCAACGTCCACGTCCACATCCAGGTCCACGTCCACGTCCACGTCCACGTCCTTGTCCTCCACGTCCACGTCCACGTCCTCCACGTCCACGTCCACGTCCACGTCAACGACCACGTCCACGTCAACGTCCACGTCCACGACCACGTCTTCGTCCACGTCCACGACCATGTCCACGTCCACGTCCACATCCACGTCCACGTCCACGTCCACATCCACGTCCACGACCCATCCACGTCCACGTCTTCGTCCACGTCCACGTCCAGGTCCTCCACATCCACGACCACGTCTACGTCCACGTCCACGTCCACGTCCTCCACGACCACACCACATCCACCTCCACGTCCACGTCCTCCACGTCCACGTCCACGTCCTCCACGTCCACGTCCACGTCCTCCACGTCAACGTCCACGTCCACGTCCAAGTCCACGTCCACGTCCATGACCACGTCCACGTCCACGTCCACTTCCACGTCCACGTCCAAGTCCACATCCACATCCACGTCCACGTTCACGTCCACTTCCACGTCAACGTCCACGTCCACCTCCACGTCCACGTCCTCCACGTCCACGTCCACGTCCTCCACGTCCACGTCCACGTCCTCCACGTCCACGTCCACCTCCTCCACGTCGACGTCCACGTCTACGTCCACGACCACGTCCACGTCCACGTCCACGTCCAAGTCCATGTCCACATCCACGTCCACGTCCACGTCCAAATCCACGTCAACGTCCAGGTCCACGTCCACGTCCACGACCACGTCAACGTCCACGTCAACGTCCACGTCCACGACCACGTCCACGACCACGTCCAGGTCCACGTCTATGTCCACGTCCACGTCCACGTCCACGTCCAAGTCCACGTCCACGTCCACGTCCACGTCCAGGTCCACGTCCACGTCAAAGACCACGTCCACGTCCACGTCCAGGACCACGTCCACGTCTACGTCCACGACCACGTCCACGTCCACGTCCATGTCCAAGTCCACGTCCACGTCCAGGTCCACGTCCACGTCCACGTCCTCGTCCTCCACGTCCACGTCCACGTCCTCCACGTCCACGTCCACGTCCACATCCACGACCACGTCCACGTCCTCGTCCACGACCACGTCCACGTCCATGTCCACGACCACGTCCACGACCACGTCCACGTCCACATCCACGTCCACGACCACGTCCACGTCCACGTCCACGTCCACGACCACGTCCACGTCCACGTCCACGTCCACGTCCACGACCACGTCCACGTCCACGTCCAAGTCCACATCCACATCCACGTCCACGACCACGCCTACGTCCACGTCCACGTCCACGTCCACGTCCAGGACCACGTCCACGTCCACGTTCACGACCACGACCACGTTCACGTCCATGTCCATGACCACGTCCACGTCCATGTCCACGTCCACGTCCACGACCACGTCCACGACCACGTCCACGTCCACGTCCACGTCTACGACCACGTCCACGTCCACGTCCACGACCACGTCCACATCCACGTCCACGCCCACGTCCACGTCCACCTCCACGTCCACGTCTATGACCACGTCCACGTCCACGTCCACGTCCAAGTCCACGTCGACGTCCAGGTCCACGTCCACGTCCCTGTCCACGACCACGTCCACATCCACGTCCACGTCCACGATCACGTCCACGACCACGTCTACGTCCACGTCCACGACCACGTCCATGTCCACGTCCACGTCCACGTCCAAGTCCACGTCCAGGTCCAGGTCCACGTCCACGTCCACGTCCACGACCACGTCCACGTCCACGTCCACGACCACGTCCACGTCCACGTCCACGACCACGTCTACGTCCACGTCCACGTCCACGACCACGTTCATGTCCACGACCAAGACCACGTCCACGTCCACGACCACGTCCACGTCCACAACCACGTCCACATCCACGTCCACGTCCACGTCCACGTCCACGTCCACGTCTACCTCCACGTCCAGGTCTACGTCTATGTCTATGTCCACGTCCACGTCCACGACCTTTCCACGTCCATGTCTACGTCCACGTCCACGTCCACGACCACGTCCACGTCCACGTCCACGTCCAAGTCCAAGTCCATGTCTACGTCCAAGTCCACGTCCACGTCTAGGTCCAGGTCCACGTCCACGTCCACGTCCACGTCCAAGTCCATGTCCACGTCCAGGTGCACGTCGACGTCCACGTCCACGTCCACGTCCACGTCCAGGTCCACGTCGACGTCTACGTCCACGTCCTCCACGTCCACGTCCACGTCCTCCACGTCCACGTCCACGTCCACGTCCACGACCACGTCCACGTCCACGTCCACGTCCACATCCACGTCTACGTCCACGTCCACGTCCACGTCCACGTCCACGACCCATCCACGTCCACGTCCACGTCCACGTCTTCGTCCACGTCCACGTCCAGGTCCTCCATGTCCACGACCACGTCCACGTCCACGGCCACGTCCTCGTCCATGACCACGTCCTCCACGTCCACGTCAATGTCCTCCACGTCCACGCCACGTCCACGTCCACATCCTCCACGTCCACGTCCACGTCCACGTCCTCCACGTCCACGTCCACGTCCTCCACGTCAACGTCCACGTCCACGTCCAAGTCCACGTCCAGGTCCAGGTCCAGGTCCAGGTCCACGTCCACATCCACGACCACGTCCACGTCCACTTCCACGTCCACGACTACGTCCACGTCCACGTCCATGTCCACGTCCACGTCCAAGTCCACGTCCACGTCCACGTCCACGACCACGTCCACGTCCACGTCCACGTCCAGATCCACGTCCACGTCAACGTCCACGTCCACATCCAGGTCCACGTTCAGGTCCAGGTCCAGGTCCAGGTTCACGTCCACGTCCAAGTCCACGTCCACGTCCACGTCCAGGTTCATGTCCACGTCCACGTCCACGTCCACGACCACGTCCACATCCACGTCCACGACCACGTCCACGTCCACGTCCACGACCACGTCCACGTCCACGTCCACGACCACGTCCACGTCCACGTCCACGACCACGTCCACGTCCACGTCCAAGTCCACATCCACATCCACGTCCACGACCACGCCCACGTCCACGTCCACGTCCACGACCACGTCCACGTCCACGTCCACGTCCACGTCCAGGACCACATCCACGTCCACGTTCACGACCACGACCACGTTCACGTCCATGTCCATGACCACGTCCACGTCCATGTCCACGTCCACGTCCACGACCACGTCCACGACCACGTCCACGTCCACGTCCACGTCTACGACCACGTCCACGTCCACGTCCACATCCACGACCACGTCCACATCCACGTCTACGTCTACGTCCACGTCTACGTCCACGTCCACGTCCACGTCCACGTCCACGTCCACGTCCACGTCCACATCCACGTCCACGTCTATGACCACGTCCACGTCCACGTCCACGTCTAAGTCCACGTCGACGTCCAGGTCCACGTCCACGTCCACGTCCACGACCACGTCCACATCCACGTCCACGTCCACGACCACGTCCACGACCACGTCTACGTCCACGTCCACGACCACGTCCATGTCCACGTCCACGTCCACGTCCAAGTCCACGTCCAGGTCCACGTCCACGTCCACGTCCACGACCACGTCCACGTCCACGTCCACGACCACGTCCACGTCCACGTCCACGTCCACGACCACGTCTACGTCCACGTCCACGTCCACGACCACGTTCATGTCCACGACCACGACCACGTCCACGTCCACGTCCACGACTACGTCCACGTCCACAACCACGTCCACATCCACGTCCACGTCCACGTCCAGGTCCACGTCCACGTCTACGTCCACGTCCAGGTCTACGTCTATGTCTATGTCCACGTCCACGTCCACGACCTTTCCACGTCCATGTCTACGTCCACGTCCACGTCCACGACCACGTCCACGTCCACGTCCACGACCACGTCCACGTCCACGTCCAAGTCCACATCCACATCCACGTCCACGACCACGCCCACGTCCACGTCCACGTCCACGACCACGTCCACGTCCACGTCCACGTCCACGTCCAGGACCACGTCCACGTCCACGTTCACGACCACGACCATGTTCACGTCCATGTCCATGACCACGTCCACGTCCATGTCCACGTCCACGTCCACGACCACGTCCACGACCACGTCCACGTCCACGTCCACGTCTACGACCACGTCCACGTCCACGTCCACGACCACGTCCACATCCACGTCCACGTCCACGTCCACGTCCACGTCCACGTCCACGTCCACATCCACGTCCACGTCTATGACCACGTCCACGTCCACGTCCACGTCCAAGTCCACGTCGACGTCCAGGTCCACGTCCACGTCCACGTCCACGACCACGTTCACATCCACGTCCACGTCCACGACCACGTCCACGACCACGTCTACGTCCACGTCCACGACCACGTCCATGTCCACGTCCACGTCCACGTCCAAGTCCACGTCCAGGTCCACGTCCACGTCCACGTCCACGACCACGTCCACGTCCACGTCCACGTCCACGTCCACGTCCACGTCCACGACCACGTCCACGTCCACGTCCAAGTCCACATCCACATCCACGACCACGCCCACGTCCACGTCCACGTCCACGACCACGTCCACGTCCACGTCCACGTCCACGTCCAGGACCATGTCCACGTCCACGTTCACGACCACGACCACGTTCACGTCCATGTCCATGACCATGTCCATGTCCATGTCCACGTCCACGACCACGTCCACGACCACGTCCACGTCCACGTCCACGTCTACGACCACGTCCACGTCCACGTCCACGTCCACGACCACGTCCACATCCACGTCCACGTCCACGTCCACGTCCACGTCCACATCCACGTCCACGTCTATGACCACGTCCACGTCCACTTCCACGTCCAAGTCCACGTCGACGTCCAGGTCCACGTCCACGTCCACGTCCACGACCACGTCCACATCCACATCCACGTCCACGACCACGTCCACGACCACGTCTACGTCCACGTCCACGACCACGTCCATGTCCACGTCCACGTCCACGTCCAAGTCCACGTCCAGGTCCACGTCCACGTCCACGTCCACGACCACGTCCACGTCCACGTCCACGTCCACAACCACGTCCACGTCCACGTCCACGACCACGTCTACATCCACGTCCACGTCCACGACCACGTTCATGTCCACGACCACGACCACGTCCACGTCCACGTCCACGACTACGTCCACGTCCACAACCACGTCCACATCCACGTCCACGTCCGC